TCGAACTCCGAATCCTCGGACTTCCAGCTCGTAGCCCATCGCTATACCGGCAGAGCTACCCCGATTAGAACCGCCGTGTATTTTCTACTCGACGCGATACGTGTAACTGCAGATAAGAGTTAAGTGGAGGGATATCTGAAAGTTAGGGTAACTACCGGACAGAGGAGCTGGTATGGAACCAAAGCGGTAAAAATGATTACATTTGTTAGTTTCCGGCGACTCGTGCTACTTCCATACTCACAGAGACGCCGAACACAAGTTAAGAACTCACATGCAGATTTTCTCTCCTGCGCCTGGCTTCATACCACGGCGGCCCGGGACCAATCATAAATGTGGCCACGTCAGATTTGTAACGGGTAAAGTGGTACAGTGGCAGGTTTCCTCTCAGGGTGCTTCAGTTTCCTTTCTGATTCCCAGTCCAAGGCATCCCAAGTTGCAACCTTTAAATCGTTAATCGCTGTACCCTTTCCACTAACATCAGTTCTGCATATGCAGCATTTCTTGCAACTCTTATATCACGTAGTTAAGTTGTCCCTGTGCTTAACTAATCAAGCATTACACCATAAAGACGTATGTGGAGTGGAAGTATAGATTAACATATTCTTGACCTCAGTACTAGTTGGAGGTGAGTGGTCAGCTTCACGTCCCGGCAGCTTTACCCCCGAGAAAAGAGCCCCACCTGCAACCATTGACTATGATGACGGGTGAGCCTCAGAGCCGGTCTGGATGATATGAAGAAGTATAACTTCTTTCTCCTACCGGGACTGCAACTCTGACCCCTTGGTCGTCCAGCCTGCAGCCAGTTGTTATACTGATTTCGCTATCCCGGCTCATACAGGGTGTTTCACGACTTTAGGGCATAACTGCAAGAGGTGATTTCATAGTTCTTTGTGATCAAAACAGTTCATATAAACATGTGTCCGATTTTGGACGGTTACGGAGTTATGACCGTTTTAAACTCAGAATAGAAGGTAACGATTACTGACAATAAACGGAACAAAACAATAACCCAGCATAATACATAATACATTTGAAGTATGACTGTAAAGTTAACTTCGTGAAATTACCTTTAATTTGAATTGATTGGTGCTTAAAGCTGATTTTCGAAAATGTCATCGCCGGCCGCAACACAGGCTGCCGATTGGTTGTGAACCGTGCCGGACATACCAACCCACCATGCCTTAGGTACTTCTCAGGTGTCGAGATAACGAGAATGCTCTGTCTGTAGCTGGTTAAAAATAGCGACCTGCCAGCTGAGAGACGCGGTTCATACGAGGGCGTGTACGGGAATGAAAAAAACGGACATAACTCCGTAACCGTCCAAAATCGGACACATGTTTATTTGAACTTTTTTGATCACAAAGACCTAGTAAATCACCTCCCGCAGTTATGCCCTAAGTCGTGAAACATCCTGTATATTATGCCATAAACCCCACGGATACGTAATCAGCCTTTCGCAGAGTGAGTCCGGTGATGAAATTAACACCGTTCAGCTTCTGTACAGACTGTAAGGTATAGTACTGCTTATACACGTCATATAACCGTTGTACCGCCATGACTCAGTCGTCAAATCCTCATCAGTAACAACGCAATACTCCATGAGGACAGGATTCTGTGCAAGTAATTTTTAACTCATTTCCCCTCTCTCCGGGTGTTGATTAGTAGGTTACGATGCGTAACGCTGTTCGTAACACGAATGCTATTCTTACTCCGAATTAGAATTCGAAAGGAAATCTCCTGAATTCATACAGCCTACTGCCTATGACAGTCGTGTAAGCATTCATTCTTTTTGCTGGCCAATGAGGATTTAAACCTGTCCACGCGCAACATCCTCCGGCTCCACTCGCATTTCCTGTCGCACGGCCTCTGTCTACTGCGAAGGTTAAGAATGGGTGGCTGCTTAATCAAGTACAGGGACAATTTAATTTTTTCTTCTTTACTGTTTTCACAACAGCTTCGGGGAAAAGTGTTGCACAGTATAATTATGTATTATTTAATATCTTGTGTTGAACGTGTCTTGTCTGCGAACAAACGACCTTGCCCCAGACAAATGTCGAGTTAAGATAGAGAGGCTAACGTTCGAAGGCAGACGTCACGTACTGTACAGTGTGTTCCATAAAACATACATTCAACGGGTGGTAACAATTTATATAAACCATAATACAGAGTTAGCTTAAAAGAAAGAGACAGTTTACGTGACTCGTGCTCGTGAAACTTACACGCGCAGCGCAAAAAAGTCGACAACACATGCAAGTGTAGAACTTCAAGTTCCACAAAAGACTGTGTGCAATATCTTGCGTATACGTTTACGAAAGTTCCCTTACCGGTTGCAATTATTGCAGATCCTCACTGAAAACGACAAAATCCTCCGTCACTCATTCTGTATGGACATGCAGCAACGGAAGGAAGCAAGTAATGATTTCTGTAACCGGCAGTTTTCGGTGACGAATCAACGTTCCACATTAGCGGTACGGTGAACAAACACAACGTTCGTATATGGGGAACTGAGAAACCGAGAGCTGTAGTAGAGCGTGTGAGGGATTCACCTAAAGTGAACGTTTTTTGTGCTGTATCCCGTAAAAGGGTGTGCCCATGTAAACTTCAGGGCATACTTTTCAAATCATGTAAGTATCTCGGCCATGCTATTAAAACTCTTCTTTCTGTAAAACTTTGAAAGTGTCTTTTCTTTTAGGCTAAACCTGTATACTGGAGTAAAAATGTCGCAAAACTTGTGAGAACTACTACCACTAGCCGTTTTGTAGCAGTTTACATGTAAACACAGCAATAAGGAAAAAGAGAATGTCAACAAATCCATTATTTGTTCTTATCATGTAGGTCGCAACGTTGCAGAAAACATACCGCACATAAGAGCACATTTCTTTTCACTGGCTCAACAGACCCCTTCGGCCCTGACCTTTGATTTTCAGTTTCATGATCATTTTGTAGACGGTAGAACTCCTTGGACGAGTGATCAGCCCATCGCAAGACCTCTTCCTAAACATACGACAACACCGACACAGAATGAACACACACACACATATATATATATAAACTTCCATGCCTTGTGTGGGATTCGAACCTACGATCCCGGCTTCCGAGCGAGTGAAGACAGTACATGCCTTAGACCGTGAAGCTACCGTGACCGGTGGCCGCGCCATAGCTCAAGCGGTTAGTCCCTGGCTTCCCACCGCGGAGGCCCGGGTTCGATTCCGGGTCTGGTCAAGTGGGATTTGTGGTGGACAAAGTGGCGCTGGGGCGGGTTTTCTCCGAGGGCTTCGGTTTCCCCTGTCAATCTTCATTCCACCAAATTCTCCATCATCATAATCACCCGGGGCAGGCTATAATAGGCCAATCAGTGGCCGCCGTGCCGAGTGGACCCAGTTGGACTCCACCCCCCACTAAGCGAATAAAAATAAATAATTAATTACTGTGACCGGCACATAAGACCACAGTGACAGATCAATCCTGTAGCCATATATACGTATTCGAAAAACGTCTTTCCGTGAAACGCTGGGCATTCCGCAAACCTTGCCGGCTTGTGCCCTTCCTTGGCAACTCCATTTTCGAGCCGTATGTCTGTCTGCCCGTACATGTCGGCACACAGAACGGAACAAAGACACTAACATCACTGAAGACCTCTTCACCTTCATACTCTATTTTTAGCTTTTTCATCGACAATACCAACAGATGGCCGGGCGAATCAGTGAGGTGGGAAACGCTTTAGTATTTTACTGAAGAAAGTTTCAGCGAGTTGGGCAAATTCAACTATTATATTACGTTACATTTCAGCAACTAATATTTTTCGGCCTTATTTTCGCAAATATTGCTGTGTGGCCTATTTCACACGAGTACAATGCATTCTTTTATTAGCACCGTTAGTACCAGGTGTTTGGGTAAACACTGTGACCATCATCTCGTACATTTCCTAATATCGTATTTGTATTCTAATTGGCTCATATTGAGTCAAGCATTAATTAAAAATTAAAGATGGGTTATAATTCAAATTTCTATCTCTTGAAGGCTGATCACAGGTGCCGCGCGGTCTAAGGCATGAAATGTCTTCGCCCGCTCGAACACTGGGATCGTGGGTTCGAATCCCACTGAAGGCACTGATGTTTGTCTGTCTTTGTTTTGCGTTTGTGATGTCCTGTATAGGTTGAGGCCGCCGTCGGGTTGACCCNCCCCCCGTCCAAGGAGTCCTGCCGACTGTCTAAATTAAGAAACTGAAGGGAAATGAAGCCCCAAAGTGGAAGCAACAGGAAAGAAAAAGAGAATATGCCTGTAATCAGGAAACGAAATAAAAGCCGAAGCAGGCGTAGGGGCAGACGTCTCCATATCCATGTAAAATGTGCCAAGTTTTCTTAAAGATTGGACCCGCCTTTATTTTTCTCTTATCGCCAAAAAAGGTCGCTTAAAAATGTCCACAAACAAACTCCGTGGCCTTAGTCCGCAAGCGAACTATACCAACCGATCGACCGTCGCTTGTCGGCGAAGTTAGTGCCAACTTTAGCGGATAGAGGGTGTCACGTGGTCAGCGCAACGAATCCCAATGGCCGTTAATTTCGGTTTCCTAGACCGGAGCCTCTACTTTTCAATTCAAGTAGCTCCTCAGTTATCCTCACGAGGCTGAGTGGACCCCGTTCCAGACCCTCTACTTCTCAGAAAATCTGGTAGCGCCGGGAATCAAACCTGGGACCTCTGGATTTGTATCCAGTACAGAGGCGGTCCCCAACTATACACCGGTACCTTCTGAAAACCAGCAGAGACCTAATTCAGCGTGTTAAGAGGGGTTTGGGGAGCTGTTAACAGCTCAGTCGGTATTGTGACTAGCAGCGGTTACCTTCCTATGTCTCAATGCGACGCACGTCACGATTTCAGAGTCCATCTAAATTATCGTGAAGATGACTGCAATTACATGTGATCTGTAAAAGCGAAGTAAATAAGGTAATTGTTTCTTTTTCACCAATGAAACTCTGTCAACAGCAAACTGGATGCATTACCTTGTGAGATCGCCGTCCATCAATTGCCACGATGAAACCAACACCACATGCGTCCCTTTCATTGACGGGGTCGTATAAGCCATCTTTTGGCGGCAACGACCAGGGCTCGTGGGACATTAGGACCTGCCACAAGATAAAACAAAATTTCACTTAACACAGATCATTTAAAAAATTCGTGATTATTTAGTAGCGTTTATTAACACATAATGGCTCTACTATATACCTTTCTCTTCACTGACACCATTCTGTTTTATACCATAATGAAGATTCTAAAGGGTTCGTCCCTTTTGCTAGAAGGTTCAGACGTCACCCTCACTCCCTCCTTGAGGAGTGGCCAATTGCGCAGCTACTGAAGAATTTCACAGAATTTTATGGAACCCCAAGGTTCATTACCGTGTTCACAAGAATCCTCCAGCGGTCCCTATCCTATGCCAGATAAATCCAATCCATATCATCCCCTCTATCTCTCTGAGATCCATTTTAATATTGTTCACCCACCTACGCCTTGGTCTTCCGAGTGGTCTCCTTCCTTCTGGCTTTCCCACCAATATCCTACATGCATTTATCCTCTCCCCATTCGTGCTACATGCCCTGCCACCTCATCTTCCTTGACTTGATCATTCTAATTATACTTGGAGAAGCGTATAAGTTATGAGGCTCCTCATCATGCAGTTTTCTCCAACCTCCTGTCACTTCATCTCTCTTCGGTCCAATTATTTTCCTCAACACCCTGTTTGAACGTCTCCTTTGAGCATCTGTATGTATCATGCTGACCCAGGATTCCCTACAAGCTCTTCATAGAAAGCCACCTAATATTTTCAGCCAGATCATCCACTCGTATCATCGCAGCCAGGCTCACTGTATTCTATTTTAACGCCGTTCTCTTACTCCTTGGTACCTACAGAAAACCTTCACTCTACCGATTTTGTATTATTTCCAGTTTTCATTATTTCCACAAGCTGTCCCATCATCTTCGTAGAATATGTGATGGCTGAAACGTAACATTCAGGAAATGAGTTCTTTCGAACGTAAATATTAAATTTGTGGTCTTATGAGATGTGACATAGAGAAATGTTAACGTTTCAAAGTATGTTGTTGCCTCCACATTCTTATGTTCTTAAGATATAGGTGGCTGCTCCTTCCAAAATTCTGATTATCAGATTAGGTAGAAATCTTATCTTAGGAGACCGGTAACTCTAGTGCATAGAAGGTACACGTAGGCCTAAGACATAAAAATTCCATATTATGCAATATTCTCTTTTCTTTTGACAATTTACTTCTTTCGCGGCTAAAATGTCTTCGTATCTTCTATTCGAGCACTTCCGACTCGGCATCGGACTGAGTCTGTACTCATATGTAAGCGATAAAATTTATTTTTGTATATTTTAAACATTAATATTATACACACAGGAGATTAAAGCTCCCACGCTTCAAGTTAACTAGGTCTCAAGTATATGAGTGGCTAGTGGTCGTAAAAAATGAAAGGTAAAGCTATCCCTGTAACAGGCCGTGGAGGACCATAGGGTTTCAGACGTCGAGGATCCCACATTTTCTAGAAAATCGGCTCGCAGATAGCGCTGAGGTTGTCAGCCTTACGCGTCGACCGCCTTTTACCCCCAGGAAGATTCCTGGTACTCGTTTCTTTCAGAGGCTGAGTCGACCATAGGGCCATAGTGAGGCTGGAAGGGTTAGATCAACTGAAAAATCAAAAAACATCATCGGGATTCGAACCCGCGACCTTCGGGCTTGTAGCTATCGGGTGCCCCCCAGTGACCAATAAAGTTCATTTTTATATATTTTAAACAGTAATACTATATACAGGAGACTTAAAGCGCCTATGCTTCAAGCTAACTGTGTTTCAGGTACATAAATGGCTAATTCTCGTTGCTATAATATCCTTATCGCTTACTTCAAGAGATTGTGGCTTACTCTAACTGTATTTTTGCAAATGATGAACACATTTCCTGAATATACAGATCGCCCACCGCAGTGTACACGATGATGTTAGGAATATCTTGATCTCCTATGGGCAAAGGCTAATTTGCTGCATGATTTAAAGCAAGGATTGCATCACAGCTCCATATACGTCACATTCCAATGCATTTATTTGTTGCTTTCAAGTTGGAGCGCTCATTAACTGCAAACACTGTTATCTAACTGTGGCTGCTTTCTCGGTTTCTTAATCTTGTAGACAGTCGGTAGGATTCCTTGGACGGGGGATCAGGCCACCGCAAGGCCGCTACCTGCATACAGAATAAACGCACACAGATATTCATGCATAGAATGGGATTCGAACCCACGATTCCAGCTTTCGAGCGGTCGAAGACGGTTCATGCCTTAGACCACGCGGCCACTGTGATCAGCATTAACTGCAAACACAGCTACAAATTTATGAAGTAATCTCACTACCTAGTCTGTTGTATGGGTGTAAATCTTGGACAATTAAAGCAAGAGACACTCAGGAGAAATTAGATACTTAAGGACAGTCGAGGGCTGCACAAGACTAGACCATATTAGATACGAGGATACTAGGTAAGAACGGGGAAGCATCTTTCATTCAATACAAAATAGAATGAACCTAGACAAATTCATATTAATCATTCGCATAGAATAAATACAATAATTTGTGGTAAGAACTAATAGCCTACTTTCCTTTGATGCGACATGGACCTCCAACAATTCTTGACGCGGGAACGTGTTTGCCGAGTTGTTACCTAGCAACGATAGGAGGGATACACATACAGACCTAGAGATTGATGAAGTACGCCGTTCAAACGGGCTCAGGTGCCATGATACATATATCATGTTTAACAAAGAGGGGTGATTCACAGAGACACAGACAGCAAGGAGATCGCATAAGCCCACTTCAGGAAAATTGGCTAAAAAGTAAAGTTGCCCTTGTGCTTAATTAACTAAACATCATGCCACGAAGTCTAGGGGGGAGTGGAGTTATAGCCCCACTCTTTTTGACCACATCGCTAAATGGAGGTGAGCCATTCGTACTTAACTGAATGTCGAAACACATTCTACGATAATCTTGCAATTCTTGATCGTCCTGATCGGTATCTAGTCTACTTAAAGGTACTGAAACTAGATTTTGTTCACACATCGAGACCCACCATTCGTCACCATCATTAAATCTGATATGACGATACGTAACATCTTCATTTCATAACGTATCGCTAATTAGCTTTGAAAAATAATCGCTTTATCATCTCTGACGAAAAATCTGACCTTCGGCCCAATGTTTCCTCTTCTTCTTTCATACATTCTTTCTTTCTTTTCTTTTTCTTTCTTTCTGTTAGGCTCACAGCGTGTTTCTTGAAGAAACGTCGGACTAGCGCTTCTTGGGACTTCTTCCTTTTGGTATATTATCTCAACTGCGACAATTCTGTCTTCCGTCATTCGTGAGATATGATTATCCCAACCCGCTAGCCGTTTTAAGATCCATTCTCCTATTGGCTGAATTCCACATTGCTGTGTAATATCCTGGTTGGTAACATGACCTAATCTTCAAGAAAGTTGTCTTCTGGGTTTAGGCACCGTGTATTCTTCGTTTTGGCCGACGTTTCGGAGGAACGTAGCGCCTCCATCTTCAGAGCAGTTGAATAGCTGCGGAGAGCAGTAGCTGTAGCAGTAGCAGCTACTGCTCTCCGCAGCTATTCAACTGCCCTGAAGATGGAGGCGCTACGTTCCTCCGAAACGTCGGCCAAAACGAAGAATACACGGTGCCTAAACCCAGAAGACAACTTTCTTCATTGTCATCGCCGTGAAAACCTCAAAACTTACATGACCTAATCTTGTTTTCCCCAATTCCGTGGTATTAAATTCGGTTCACATCCTCGCAAACAATTTCCATACACTATAGCTCAGTTGGTAAAGCGACTGACTACGGGCTGGACGACTGAGGGTTCGGATTTCGAGTCCCTTAGGGTCAAGAATTTTCTCTCCTCCATGTCGTCCAGACCGGCTCTGGGGTCCACCCAACCTGCTGTCTAATGGGTATCGGGGGCTCTTTCCCCGTGGGTAAAGAGGCCGGGGCGTGAAGCTGACGACTCACCTACAACTGGTGCCGAGGTCAAGAAAATGTGGATCTATACATCCATTGCCCCATATGCCTTGATGGCGTAGTGCTTCATTAGTTAAGCACTGGGACAACATTACCTTATTACCTTTGACCATCATAATTCTGCATACGAGAATTTATCTCCGAAATAACCGTTTTCATGAAATCGACAATCAAAATTCTGGGGCTCATTACTCGATTCCCCCCACGCTTAGCTGTAGGCCAAAGCCCATTTCAATCTCGTTGATTTAAACACAATACATCAGACTACGTGAAGATCAGAATTGAGTGAGGATGCCTCAGGCATCTTCCATACCGACCAAACTACACAGTGTCAGAATAAGTTTAAGATCTCAGAAATTCTTCATTCTCAACGCCGTAAAAGTTCCAGATCTCATCTACCTGGGATCTATACATCCACTGCCCCGTACACCTTAATGGCGTAGTGCTTAATTAGTTAAGCACAGGGACAATTTTACCCACCGTCTACCTGCGAAAAGTTCACATCATTAGGCTCCTATTTAAGGAATTTCCTCTAACATAGATAAACTTAAAGCTCTTACTGTTGACGAACTCCATTAGGCAACTAGCAGCAGATTCCGTGTTAACTTTGCGCCCGTGCTACAATTCGGTGTACCTGTCGACGAGTTTATGCGAAGCTATTTTTACATTCACCAGACCAGCCGACCCAATTTACTACGGAGAAAGCGTGATTTGAGGCCAAGAATCGGCAAGCTTACTTGTGTAGAACTCACAGGGCCACTGTCTAGACCTGTCTGCCAAGAGGTTTCACTTGTTGTTTAAACAAGCCTGCGTAATATGTAGGGAACATATTTTTGTTATTGCTAGTGGGGTGGGACTAAGTCCCTTGTACTGCGGCCACTTCTGGCCTATTGTACCAGCCCCAGATGATAGGTGAGGGTGATTGTGGAGCAACTGGTGGAATGAAGACGGGCAGGGGAAACCGAAATACTCTGAGAAAACCTGCCCCAGCCCCACTTTGTCCACCACAAATCCCACTTGACCAGAACCGGGATCGAACCCGGGCCGCCGCGGT